ATAGTAATGATGATTGCGTTTACCTCCAAACACAAATAAATAAACTTGGTGAATGGTGTGTTCAAAAAACAATCTTCACTTAAACATGTCTAAATGCAAAGTAGTTTCGTTTTCAAGAAAATCTCAACCTCTTTTACATCCTTATCAATTTAATGATATTCAGTTTAAACGATGTACATCGGTCACGGATTTGGGTGTTATATTTGATCTTAAACTTTCCTTTTCGGAACATATATCGGTGACTATTGCTTCTGCTTTAAAAATGCTTGGCTTTATTATCAGAAATTGTCGTGATTTTTCCAATATTTTTGCTATCAAATCTCTATATGCTGCTTATGTGCGATCCAAACTAGAGTATGGTTCTCTAATTTGGTATCCTTACTATGACTGCCATAAAACAACCCTGGAAGCAGTGCAGCGTAAGTTTCTGAAGTTTTTATCGTTTAAATTGGACAGAGTTTATCCCGCAATTGGTACTGATCATAAACTACTGTTATCTCGATTTCAGGTACATTCCTTAGAAGTTCGCAGAACTCTGTCAAGCCTTAACTTTCTCTTCAATTTGTTACACAATAACCTAGATTGTCCATCTCTTCTTTCCCAAATTCGGTTCCATGTGCCACGTTCTTCGGCTCGTAATGTATATACTTTCAATTGTGCTAAGGCCAATACAAACTTACTTTGTAAATCACCAATATTTGTTATGGTAAGCAACTTTAACAAAATTGCTAATATGTGTGACATTAACACTTGCTCAGTATCTGATCTTAAAAGATTGATGGAATATTTTTAATCTTATTTTTAATCTTGTTTAAGTTTAATACCATTTAATTTGGTTTTTATTAGGTTAGCGGTTAAGATATTAGTATATTTAGTTATTGTGCTTTCTTAGATTAGTAATTGTCCTATAATTGGAATTTGATTCTGTTGGGCAATAAATCATATTATTATTATTATTATTATTATCTTAAGAGATAGAAAGTTGGTTAAATGGGGGCAAAGTTGCAAATTTCCGTGCTGAATAATAATCTGAAAAGAAATTTGAAATATCTTCAATCTTCAATTACGTCTTTTTTTCTCTTTACAACGATATATCACACATACTGGTTCAGTATCACATTTTTCCTAAAAATATAATTTTTCATTTTTTGAGAAGATTGCTTTGGAAAAACAAAACGTTCTTTTGTTGTCAACAAAAGTTTGACAGTTTGATCCATCTGTCTGGTTGCAGCGTTTAGTTGTCAGAGAAGTAGAAAGTCGATTTTCATCTCAACCGCTTGCAAAATGGCTTGCTCATATTCATTGGGTCTATCACCATATTGCTGTCTACATCTTTTAAAAGAACCATATTCGCCCAAGTTTTTATGCAGCAAAGAAAAATACCTCAAACTAGGTTGTTGCCCCTTTGGATAACGCTGCAAGTATGTTGCAGCAGTCATGTGGGCATTTCGATGAGAAGAGAAGTGTAGTAAATTTGGGTCATATCTCTTTGATCTGCATTTGAAAAAGGCATTTTCGCAATACAACTAGCATAAACCTAAATGACACTACATGAAATAAGTCAACCTTTTGTTCACAACAAAAGAACGTTTTGTTTTTCCAAAGCACTCTTCTCAAAAAATTAAAAATTGTATTTTTAGGAAAAATGTGATACTGAACCACCATGTGTGATATATCGTTGTAAAGAGAAAAAAAGACGTAATCTCAAAATGTGAAAATTCAAAATGGCGCCCATAAGAAAAACTAAAGTTGCCACGTGTTTCTTCGTCATCTGGAGAGTTATTAAAAACAGAATGCCATATTTGAAATCTCCATTAAAAAGTGTCCGAATAGTGTGTTAATTAGAAATGTCTACTACGATTAGTTTATCATAAAAAAACATAAAACGAAAATCACAAATTTTTGTTTTTTTGAGATATCTTCAAAACTATTGAAGATATTTGAAATATCTTTTCAGATTCTTATTCAGCACGAAAATTCGCAACTTTGCCCCCATTTAACCAACTTTCTATCTCTTAAGATAAGTGAGATCCCCATAGTGGCACATTTTCTACCGTTAGGTACCTAGTAAAAGTTACTTGGTAAGGGCCGATGGGTAAACGGAAAGAATTAGGCTTGAAAGTGGGGTTATTTTATTTATTTATTGGACAATTGGACAAAAATGATTTTTATACAATTGGCTCAGTGTTAATTATTCCTTGTGATTATGGCAGCTGCTCTTTCTCCAATCATCATTGACGGCGCACTTGTATGTCCCGAAATGGTGTCCGGCATAACACTGGCATCGGCCACCATCAAATTTCCAATGCCGTATACTTTCAGGTTGTAATCGACAACGGCGCCTGCAGACGGACTTGCGCCCATTTTGCAAGTTCCAATAGTATGGGTGAACGTATTACTAAGATACTTAATCTGGCATTTAAAGTATTCGTCGGACAATTCGGAGTGATTCCTACATTCAGGTCGCCGAATTTCTATCAGTTCGGCGTTGACTTCCTTGAACGCCTTTGTTTCTATCAACGACTGTACATACCTAATGCCCTCGAGCATTACTTTCACATCCTCGTCGTTAGGATCAGACCAAAAATTTGGATCGACGAGTGGATAGTCGAATGGATCCGTGGACTGTAACGTAACGCTTCCATGTGACTTGGGATGCAACAAAACGGGAACTATAATAACAGTCTGGTTATTATTACCCCTATACATAACTATCTCTATGTCAGGACGTTGCACTTCCGTTGATAAACTACTCTTCAAAAATACCACCCCTAATGCACCACCCTCGGTAAGTTCCCCCCTTCCATTCAAATAGTCTCGTACCTTGTCGCGCAATTGCCGCTCTACGTTAGAGTGATTTGTGTGCACAGTTAATCCAACGTATGACAAGTGATCTTTAAAGAAATTACCGACCGGTAAGTCCTGAACGACCGGAATGTTAAGGTTTGCGAGATGACTTGCCGGTCCAATCCCCGACAGCATCAGTAATTGTGGAGAACGGTATGTGCCGGCCGAAAGTACAATTTCACTTCGAGATTTCGCAACGAAGTACCTTTTGAACCGCGCAAAGATTACCCCGTAAGCCTCTTTGGTTGTCGCGTTGATCAGTATCTTTGTAACGTAGCTGTGGGGCAATATGTGAAGATTGCGGCGATGCCTCCACGCCCGTCTCAAATACGCTCGGCCGGTACTGCAGCGTTGTCCCAGGATGTTGTTAACTTGTACTCTTCCCGCACGTAACGGATTGTCACCATTATAATCGCCAATTTCTTGGCCCAGTTCGCGATTCGCGTCCAGAAACGTGGGCGTTTTCGGATTGATTGGTTCTGAAAAGTCGACACTCACAGGACCACTGTATCCGTGCAAGTCCCTATCGCCGTCAATTTGATAATTTTCGAGCTTTTTGAAGGCTGCCAGGATATTCTCGTAGTTCCAATCACTTTCTCCCGAAGGATCCCAGCGGTCGTAATCGGCCTTGCAACCTCTAGCGTAAAACAAACCGTTAATAATCGTCGAACCTCCCAGTCCTCTTCCCGCCCGATAACTACAGAGTCCATTCAGCGCTGTTACGTCAACAGGTCAATTTAGGTTTGCTAAGGGGGATACTTACAAAGACAGGATTTGTTCTGCACAACACTCTTGTAATTCCAATTGTATTGAAGGTCCTCTGTTATCGCACTCATTGCTGGAATATCTGTAAAATCGCTCTCGTAGCCGCCAGCGTCTAACAGTAGTACGTGTTTTTCACAATCTTCCGACAACCTAGCGGCTACGATAGCACCTGCTGATCCTGCTCCTATAACGATGTGGGTAAATGTTCCCAGTTCTACAAATATAATACTTTATATACTGCTAGAAACAGTATTTCATCTAGGTACCTACCGTATTGGGTCTTACTCCACGGTCGATAGGCATCGGAATCGACTGGTAAAGTGTACGTCTCTGCCCGTTCAGTTTCCGCTTGAATTAGCCGAACCAAATATTCAGTTCTTAAATCTCTATAACTATAAGTTGAGGAAAGCGGCAAAATTAGGAGCAGGATGATATTCATTGCGGCTGTGAAGAGTCACTTCGATCAGATTTAGTTTTTATATTGAATTAACCTGTACTAAGATAAGGAGTAACTGCGTATGTTTGAGCGGAGGTATTAACAACTTCTAGGAATTTTTGGGCAATTGTTTGCGGAAATAATCTCTCCTAATAAAATGGTAAAACAGCACCTGAATGTATTTACTGTTAGTACATGGTTTTAATTATACAATGTTGTTTTGTAACTGTCGTTGTCTATTTGTTGAGATTACTCGTTACTTACTTTGCGAAAGTGTCGACAAATTTTCTGGGAGCAAATGCCACGAGGGAAAATTTTCTGGAGACGAATTTTCCGAACAAGAATCTTCCGGTGCGAGTTTTGTGATGCGAACCAAATAAATGAAAGGGCGGGTTGTACAGGGTGTTCCATTAATAATGGTCACAGGCTGACTTTTTTTCTAAAATATACCCAACAAACATCCATAAACATACAGCATAGCAATCTTGCATCATTTTGGTGCAGCACATATTGCTAATGTAATGTAAAGTCTGGAACTATCGCGATAATTCTTTTAGTAAAGGTTTTTGAAAGAAATCCTCGAAAATAAACATTTTTTATCTTAAATAAGGTACACAGTAGGCGCTCGGTAATCACGCACCGAAGATTTTTCACATATCGGATTACTGGATTAGTGGATATAAAGCATTTTTAGCGAATTTTCCAACGAAGTTGGGTGCGCTATTGCAGCCACTTTCTCTGTCCGTCCGTCTGTCCGTCTGTCTGAGGCCTTAACTACTTCTACAGTTTTCAAGATATTAAGTTCGTTCTTTTTGCATTCGGTTGCGTATAACTCTAGCACCTGAGCCAAAGAAAACCTTGATCATTAAACTGGGCATGCGCAGACCGCGCAATGTCAACTTCCTTTTTTATTAATATATTTTGTTGAAATTTTAACCACATATACTGTTGGATTAATCAATGTTGATCTAAAACTTGATATTTGAATACGTTTATTAATAATTGGAATGTAACCAACGACGTTTACGTGTGCATAGGTACTTGTTACATGAATGAATAAAATAATTGACGATGTGCGCAAACGATTGCGTACGGCAAATCATGGTCCGCAACCCAATATACATCAGTGATGATATAAAGAACTTAACATAACTGGCCCCTCCAGAGCCTATGAACGAATTTAACAAAATAGTACATATTGTAGGCAAATGTGAACATATAGCAAAACATTATAAAATATGATTATACCACTTTAGGAAAAACATGTAGTACATGCACTCTTAATACTAATACAAGCAAAAAATAATGCATTATGCAGAAAACATGTGAATGAACATTGTTAATTTTCACTTGATAAACGGTCTTCGTTTGTTGTCGTGACTTGATTCTCAATCGGCAGAACACACACTTTTCGCACTGACCGCTTGAAATCCCCTGATTTGCTTTTTACCGTCACTACTCTCACGACACCATCGGGACCTGGATGAACTTGCGTCACACGAGCGAGTCTCCAATCTGCGGGTGGAAGCTGCTCTTCTTTTAGAAGTACCATCGTACCAATCTGAATCGGGTAAGTGCCGTCTTTCCATTTCGTCTTGTTTTGTAATTGGTTAATATATTCTCTGGACCATTTCTTCCAAAATTGAATGTGTAATTTTTGCAGGAGTTGATACCGTGTTAATCGATTTTCCGGGATATCGCTTACATCGGGTTCGGGAATAGTAAGAAAGGATCTTCCAATAAGGAAATGTGCCGGTGTCAGTACCTCCAAATCATTTGGATCAGAGCTCAACGGTGTCAATGGACGAGAGTTTAATAAGGATTCTATCTGAACGAGTATGGTAGTGAATTCTTCATATGTCAGTGGTGTATTTTTTAAAATTCTTTTAAGATGAAACTTGACCCTTTTAACCCCGGCCTCCCATAGACCACCGAAATTAGGAGATCGAGGAGGTATGAAGTGCCACTTAACGTTATACATGGCGAGGGATTCTTCTATCTCGACAGACCAAGTTTTTAAGAAATTTCCTAATTCCTTCAGTTCATTGTTGGCACCAATGAATGTTGTGCCATTATCACTAAATATATTTTGTGGCTTGCCACGTCTAGAAACAAACCTTTTTAATGTAGCTAAAAATGACTTAGTACTTAGATCTGTCACCAACTCAATATGTAAAGCTTTTGTAGATAAACAAACAAATAAACAAATATAGGCTTTGTTTTGTATTATTCCTCTGCTCCCTTTTCCTTTTATAAAATATGGGCCCGCGTAATCCACACCCACTGAGTGAAATGGATACATTGCTAGTGTTCGTTGCACAGGTAAATAACCCATTACTTGCTCCATATTTTTAGCATTGAATCTGGTACATCTTACACAATTTTTTATAATTTTTTTTGCTGTATTTTTTGCTGCTACAGGCCAAAATCGTTCTCGTATAGCGGCTACTACTAAATTTGGACCTGCATGGAACATAACTTCATGTTGGTGTTTAAATAACAATTCAGTAACGTGATTTGATTTCGGCAAAATGATAGGATGTTTTTTATCAAAATTAAATTTGGATAACGTCAATCTTCCTCCCACTCTAATTAAACCTTCCCCGTCCACAAAGGGAGTCAAACTCAAAAGATTACTTCGTTTATTTACCATCTTACCTACCCTTAAATTTTTTAAATCATCCTTAAATGCAATTTGCTGTATCAAAAGTATTATTCTTTTCAATGACCCGTCTAATTCACTAACTGTTAAAGGACCATGTGATTTTTCAGATTTCATTTTGGCTGCTAAACAATTCTTTTTGAATCTCATACAATATGATATTACTCTCTTAAGTCTCGTTAATGACGAAAAATTTTTAAATGGAAACGTATTTTCTTGCGTACTAGTTTGAAATAATTGTATTTTTACTTTCCTTTGTTCAGGAAGGTATTCCACGAGGTTGTCTACACTCATAATAGGGACTTCTAACTCCGATAACCAATTAGGTCCTTTCCACCACAACTCAATATTAACGAATTGCTCCGGTGGCATACCACGTGAAATTAAATCTGCAGCATTGTCACTTGATTTCACATAATACCAATTTTCCGGGTTACTAAATCTCTGTATTTCAGCAACACGATTGGCAACATAGGTTTGCCATTTATTTGGATTATTTTTTAGCCACGCCAGTACAATCATGGAATCACACCAATAATATTGTTTGTTTATGTCTATTCGTAATATATTTTTAAATTTATCGGTTAATTGAGCTGCCAAAACTGCTGCACTCAACTCAAGTCGCGGTAATGTGACATTTTTTAATGGCGCTACCCTAGATTTTGCGGCTAAAAGTGCTACCTTTACTCTACCATAACCATCGATAGACCTTAGATAAAGACACGCTCCAAATGCCCTTTGAGATGCGTCCGAAAATGCGTGTAATTCAACTACCTTATAATCTGATATGAGAACTTGTCTCGGAATTATTATTTCATTGATATAATGTAATTTAGTTTTGAACGTCAACCATTTTGTATGCAAATAAGCAGGAACTGATTCGTCCCATGTTAATTTAATTTGCCATAATTCTTGGACCATCAATTTTGCAGTAATGATTATTGGAGCCAGTAAACCAAGAGGATCATACATTTGTGCAGTAGTTGCCAAAATTGTGCGTTTGGTAATTTGTCCTGGTATTTCAGAAAAATTAAAACAGTAAAAAAATGAATCTTGTTTCGGGTTCCAGCCTACCCCTAATGCTTTATTTTGATTATCAGACAGTTTTAATGATTTATTATCAGTATCATCCCTAAGTTCCTTGACATTACTTTTAAATTTTTGCAAAGAAAACCCTGCAGTAAATAGAATTTGTTGTATATTGCGTTTAATAGTTATTAATGTCTGTAGATTGTCGGACCCTGTTATAAGGTCATCGACGTAAAAGTCTTCCTTAATTATTTGAGCTTCTAAACCAAATTCTTTTTCATTGTCTAGTGCAGTTTGAATCAAACATCTAATGGCCAAATATGGCGCAGACGCCGCCGTACCGTATGTAACAGTGTTTAACTGATATACTGATAATTCGTCACTTTCATTTTCCCTCCATAAAATTCTTTGATATTTTTTGTGTTCAGGATGTATTTGAATCTGGCGATACATTTTTGTAATGTCCCCAGTTAAAACATAAGAATAAAGTCTAAATCGAGCAATAATTGAAACTACTTCATTTTGCAACTTTGGGCCTACCCATTGAACATCGTTAATGGACAGTCCATTCGTAAGCTTGCATGACCCATCGAACACCACTCTGAGACGAGTTGTTTCACTTGTTTCTCGGAGAACGCAATGGTGTGGCATGTAGAAGGCTACCTGATTATCTTTCTCAATTTTTGTCATGTGATTTAAGGTAATGTATTCCTTAAGAAAGTTAGAATATGAAAGTTTTAATTCCAGATTGTTGTTTAACCTTCTCTCCAAGGCATAAAATCTATTTAAAGCAGTGTCATAAGAGTCGCCCAATTTGTTTAAAGTAGGTTTGAAAGGTATTTTAACAATATACCTTCCAGAAGAATCACGTTTAGTAGTTTGATTGAAATAATCCTCACAGTACTGCTGTTCTGCAGTGAGTACTTTCTCTGCTGAACAAAATTCATCCGTTTGCCAAAACCTTTCAACGCTTTTGCTCAAGCTGTTTAATGATAGACACGATATATTTATATTTCCTTCATCAAAACTTTCGTCTTTTATCTCACCTGATATGACCCATCCTAACTTTGTTTTTTGATATGTCAATCCGTTTTGTTGGATCTGCCCCACACAAACAAGTGACCAAAAAATGCTAGCTCCGATTAACATATCTACTCCCTGCGACTTATTAAATTCAGGATCTGCAATTCTGATATTAGCCGGAATGCTGATAGCGTTGGCGTCAAATGAGCAAGTTGGAAGTGCAGAAGTTATTTTATCTACTATTAAACATTGAAGTGTGCCTCCAAAATTGTTGTGACATGATTTAAATGACACTGTAACCTTATTTGTAACGTTAAGTGATCCTTTTCCCATTCCTACCACACTAATGTTCACCGCCGTCTCTTTTAATTTTAATTTCTTACATACATCGTCTGTTATGAAACAAGATTGTGAAGCACTGTCGAGAAGTGCTCGTATTTTGTGGAAATTACCCAAAGCGTCTTTAATATAAACTAATGCTGTAGATAGTAAAGTTTCAGTGCCCTTTGGTAAAACGCACGTATTAACTATGGTAACCTCTTCTTGAGGTTCCTCAACTAGTGTACCTGAATGATTTGAGCTAACAATCTTATTGGAGGTTTCCAAATGCAATAGCGTGTGATGTTTCCTGTTACACTTCTTACAGGTGGCGGTAGATTTGCAATTAGATACGAAATGGCCTTTCCGAAAACAATTTATACATGATTTCAATTCTCGGATTCTTTTGTTTCGTGCAGGAATGTCTAGCTTTAGAAATTTTTCACAATTCAGTACTGAATGATTTGCATCGCAAATTAAACATTTGGATTCTACTGTTGCAAAAGACCTTGTTGTATTACGTGAGTTTACTTGGGATTGGGACCCTATTGATTGACAACGTGTAGATTCACTTGATTTTTTAATTGCTATTGTTTCTAATATGTTTTGCTTATTTATTAGAAATTCCAACAAGTCTGAAAAAGTTGGAACGCTTTCATTGTCTCCCTCATTATTTAATTTAGTTTCCCACTCCTTGATGGTTTGACTGTCTAGTTTGTTTAAAATAATTGGAACCAGCAATGCGTCCCATTGATCAGTAGCCTGATCTAACGAAGCCAAACAATTCACATGCATTTGAATTGTATTAATTATGTCTCGTAAACAGGATGCCGATTCACGACTCGCCACTTGAATGTTTAAAATATTTTGCACGTGATTATTTATGATTCTCCGTTTATTATTGTATCGTTTTAACAAAATATTCCATGCAATTTCATAATTTAGATCTGTAGTTTCTAGTGTGGCAATTAACCCATGTGGTTCGCCTTTAAGAGACGTCTTTAAGTACGTAATTTTTTGTACGTTAGTTAATTCTGTATTAGAGTGAATAAGTGAATTGAAGGAGTCGTAGAAACTTCTCCAGGACGTAAATGTCCCATCAAAAACTGGTAATTTTATCGCCGGTAATTTAATATTGAATTTCGGTTGTCTTTGAGAACCATCAGCTTCAGCAATATTAACTTGTGATGATCCGTGAGACCGTGAATCATCTTGCGATAACAATAAATCTTTAGCTTTAGCACACAATGAAAAATAAGAATTCTGGAATTTTTCGCGCTCTTCAATCTCCGATTCACTAACCTCACAGTCATCTGTACTTAATTGTAAATCCAATTCATTTTGAATGTCATTAAACACATCTAACAATGGTTCAATTTTTTCCAGCCTTTGTTTTAAATTTAACATCATTTCACTGGATAAATTGTCTACATTTAAATTTAATAATACCTTTTCGAAGCACGTTAATTGTGTTTTCAATCCGCCCCTTTTACACCTTAACAACTTCAAATGATTTTCTGCCATTGAACTCGTTGAAGTCCGATTCAAGACAAGGACTAGACTAGTACCGACTTACCAATGAAATATAATTCTTTTTTGTATAATAGGAAACAGGATACTTGATAAATGGACTCACCCGTGTAAGCTTACTTATAGTTTTCGTTTAAGCTTTAAGGAATTTTCCGTTGCGCGCATTCGGAATGGGCGTAATGGCGATTTTCGTTGCTTGCTTGACCTTCACCACCTCGACGTAAATTTATGAATTGGAATACGATTTCCTGGTTGCTGCGGCATTTACATTTTGCTGCTTCTTACTCGAAGGACCAATGTTGGATTAATCAATGTTGATGTTTACGTGTGCATAGGTACTTGTTACATGAATGAATAAAATAATTGACGATGTGCGCAAACGATTGCGTACGGCAAATCATGGTCCGCAACCCAATATACATCAGTGATGATATAAAGAACTTAACAGCTTATCTAAAATAGGTCTATAGCCTATCGCACATTGCGATCAGCTAGTAGTGTCTAAAAAAAGCCTATAAATAGCCTATAATTCTGATGTATTTCGTCCGTCATTTTCTAAAATGGCTCTGCTGGCTTGTGGGACCTTCCATTCTTCTTTGTTTCGACTAGCGATACTAAGAATAAGCATGTAACAACATCATTCTAGTTATTTTCCATCAAGTTTCACTCTTGTTCACAGTTCTCCACTTCCTCCCCCACCAATACCAAAAATAAATATGTTTGCGACAACCATGTATTCATTCCCTATCAAGTTTAACCCCTCTGAGTCCAGAACAATTATGTCACCTTTTAAAGTCCTGTTTCTCAACTTCTTCGGTCACCAATACCAAGAGTAAGTATACAGTATGGTGCAAATAAACGGAATAAATTCATTATTTCTGGTTGAGTTAGGAATCCGGGAGTTCATCGAGACGAGACAATGGCAAGACGCACAGGACCGGGCTCTCACATCGATTGGGCCCGGAGGCGCTGAGGTGCTACTGCCCTTTCCCAAGGCAATTACCAGGAACTTAAAACCATAAGGTTACTGTGGGAGAATCTTGTATTCCATAACCCCCCCCTTCCCATTCCCAGAACTACTGTCTTTTCCCAAGGCAATTACCAGCAAGTTCTTGAAAACTGAACGTTATTTTGGGAGACTCTTATACCGGAAGGGGGTGGGGGGTGTATGGAATGCCCCCAGGTAAACGAAGATCTTATGTTAATGAAAAATCACATTAAATTTCTCTTTTCCTGGGCATTGCATACGGATAAGGTAAACTGAATGTGCTTTTTCATTAACATAAGATCTTCGTGTACCTGCAATACTCCCCAAACCACCCGGTACTGCTTTTCTTTCCGGACAATTCTCAGAAAGTTCTTATAAACTGAATATTACTGTAAGAGAATTTTGTACCGGGAGGTTTGGAGGCCTCCCACCAAAAGAATGATACCATTCAGTGCAAAAACATTCGATTACATTTTCCCGAAGACTACCATGAGAGTGTAGTATGCGATATTTTTATGTCCAGCCATGAATCGCAATTGAAATCTTTTCCGAATTGTGGATTGTGGTATTCCATACCCCCCAGATCACCCGGTACTACTGTCGTTGCCCAAGACAATTATCAAGAAGTTCTTAAAAGCTGATGGTTACTTTGGGAGATCCTTGTACCTTGTACCTTGTACATTAAATTTCTCTTTTCCTGGGTGGTATTCCATACCATAAGATAAACTGAACGTGCTCTTTCATTAAAATAAGACCTTTGTCTACCCCAGATTCCCTCCCGGTACTACTGTCCTTTCCCAGGACGATTACCAGGTACCAAGTTCTTAAAAACGCAATGTTACCGTAGGAGACTTTTGTAGTGGGGGATCTGGGGGGTATGGAATTCCACAGGTACACGAAGTTCTTATGTTAATTAAAAAACACATTAAATTTCTCGTTTCCTGGGTGGTATTCCATTCCGATAAGCTAAACCGCTGTTGCTGTCCTTTCCCGACAATTGTCAGGAAGATCTTAAAACCCGAATATTACTGTGGTAGAATCTTGTACCAGGGGCTCTGCGCCCCCCCCCCCTTCCGAGTTGTGGATTGGTGAAAAATCGCGATTTACCACATTTCGTAGAAATTACGATTTTTTTCACACCTCTGATCGGAGGTGCCACATTTTAAAGTACTACATTTGAAACATTTTGTTACAAAACATTTCAGCCTTGGTTTATGTGAAAAAAAACGTTTGAAATTTCTTAAAACTCAAGTCAAGTTTAAACCAAATTCAATTTTTGACTTTTGTGGCGTTAAATGTACGTAAGTTCAACTTAAATTTAAGCACACCTTTAAGTGTCGAATTCGATACATCTAAACTTAATCTAACTGCTTGTACATCGTTTCGTTTCCACATTTCCAATACACTTTCTACTTTCTACTCATTTCCAAACAACTAGATAATTTCCAATCGTTTCCCAAATCGTCATATCTTATTTGTTTCCAATCTTTTTGGGCCTCCAGATGTGCGAAGCCAACCTCTTTGACGTTTCCCAAGACATTGCTAGGCCGTTGTAAACGTTTCTACCTGTGAAAACTCTCGACGGAGAGTGCTCCAAAAAATCAGAAACAATCACTCGAAAATGATATTTCCACCAATCTCTTCACTCAATACACAAAAGACAAGGTGACGGTTGTCTTAAAGGAGCTTTTAAATATTTGGGATTGTCTCCACCTAAATTCGAAAGGGCGATAGTATAAGCACGAAGTCTTCCCCTACACATTCTAGTCACGGCGAATCAATTTCAATAAGAGTATTTTTTGCGATGACGATATGAATTTTAATGCCACCTTCTTATAAAAGAGCTCCAATTCAACCTTCTACGATGAGTACCTTACCCATGGATTTGTTTCTAATTTCATAGTTGACGATTGGAAGGGATGAAACGAAATTCCATCTAAACACAAATGCAAAACTAAATCGAATCAAATTGCACAATGCAGCACACAAAGCCAAAGTAATCAAGATTCCTCCCCACATCGCAACAAAGAAAAAATGTTAGTTAAGAACCCCTATCGTTGAAAGGGAGGATATGTGATCGAAAAGGGTGCGTTTGTATAAGGGTATTTTTCAGTGGGCGGCGGTGATAAAATTCATAACGAAAACAACAATAAAAAGAAAAGAGAACGGGAATAATTTAAAAACGCTGAATTACAACAAAAACTAATTTCAACTTTTTAATTAAATTTCAAATCTGGTGGAGAGAGCACTTGCGTTGTAAATTAACGTTTTAATAGTCACTGTCTGTTCATGTTCTCAAACTTGCATTTTGCTCGTATAGCGTCCCTTGACAAAATTTATTGCAAATGCACTCACATCCTGCTATTTAAATTCGCCTTTAATCTTTAAATGGCATTAAAAGATTAGTTTGTAAAAGTTCTTGTAGTACAAAATCATAATTGACTTGGCCAAGTACGTGTAGTGAATTTTAAAGTGTACGAGGAGTCGAGCGCGCGTGTGTTGTAGTCGCTGCATTCCTCGAGATGATTGCATTCCGACACTCTTCGTTTCCTTTTCTATTTCTATACATGTAAAAGAGTCTTTTTATCATAAAATCATTACTTTCGCGCAAGTGATTTATGCTGGTTGCAGGTGTTAATTATTCACAGACAGCAGGTTGGGTGGCTCAATGAAGAAATGAAATATTTGCTATCCATAATAATCTTAGATCTTTTTCAGAATTCTCAGTAAAATGGGCGACCCTTATATAATTGTTAACGTTACTTTGATGTTTAGGGTGAGTTTTCATTATAGTTCGTGCCAAATGTCGGCACAATATTGGGTCCATTTCAAAGGGGGATCGGCTAAGGACAGAAGAAGGAAAATTTTGCTAAAGACAGTCTTTCAGGATTGCTGGGAATGGAAATGCCGTGGCGATACATTACAGAAGAAACAACCGAGAGATTGTAAGAAAAGAAAACTTACATTTACAACAAATCTGTAAAAGTCTCATGAAATCCCTATAAAACTCTTAAATATTGACCTTCTAAGAAATGGACGTTTTGAACATAAAATTGAAAAGAACGTATCGAGTTTCGTAAACCGGAAAATTGCTCCTGGATATTCGCTCCCTAATACTTGTTAATTCGCCCCAATAAATTTTCTTGCAAGAAGTTGTCACCGGGAAATACTTGCCCGAAGAACGACCCTTGCTATCGAGAAAAGCCCGACGAACAGCGTGCATTTCATTATTTATTATTTTAGCGCATTTCCACAAACAAAAAAATGAGCCATTGTGTCCACTTTGCCCGTCCGTCTGTCCGTTCCTGCGGCTATGTCGCTACTAGATCTTTATCTTAAGAGCTATTGTTCTACTTTTAGGTTCGTTATGGTATCGAGGCTTGCACCAAGGAAGGAATTTTTTCTGCGCTACTTACGAAAAAAGTTATAAGAAAATTGCGAACACCATTCAGCTGCGTCAAACAAAAGCCGGCCAAGATTCTTTAGGAAACATCTGACATCCGTCCCCCCAGGACCTATGGTTTCCATCGCAAAACCAACAAACCCAAAGTCTTGAATTAGATTTATATATTTGTTGCGTTTAATGTTTTCCGCCCTGTCCGCACCTGCTCCAGCTTGCTGTGATGTTGCCTGAATGTAGCTGGGTGCGATTGTGTCAACACAAGTGGCAAGACCTACCGCCAGTCCAAGGAACTAAAGACATAGAAAAACCATTAGGCTCTAGGGCACAGGGAATGTTTACAGTGTGTAGAGAGGTATTTTCTGTGATGCCGTGATTTGCATCTGGTCAGGTGTTGATAAAAGGTTATTATCGAACAAACCATGTCACGTGCGAAATAAACGATGCATGTGTTTGTACAGTTCTGTCGATGTAGATGGAATTTCGAGTCCCGTCAGGAATTACGAAGTTGATTCTATTAAAGAAGGTGGTTTTTGCTTAAATAGGACAAATGAACGGTAAACGGGGCTCTTTTGCGTTATTTTGAAAGAGAGCGTAATTGTCGGTGACGCTAATTTTGGTACCAGTAATCGAGCCGACTATGTAATTTTAAAAATAATAAACTTAATAGTCCTTGTGTTAGTTAAATAAAGTGGCAACACGTTTAATGTTGTGCATAAAGTTTTACACACGAAATTTCGAGTTTAAAATCATGAACCATCGATCTTGTGATGGCGGTGATATGCATTAAGCAGTATTCTTCTGCATTTGGCCAAAATTTAAAACTAGCATCTTGTAGAGGGAAAAAAGTGGCCTTAGATGTGTCTTTTATTTTGAAATATCTTTTTAATAACTTAGGTAAAAAATAAAAACCTTTTGCAAAATGTTATTTGTTTCAGGATATCTCCCAAAGTGGTCGGATTTTTTTTAGTTTCAATTAAGCATCAAAATACTCAACTTTGCCAAACTTA